GACATGTCAAAGTCTAGACCCTGAATATAAGACGACCGTGTTTTTTCAGATGTATTTCCAAGAAAAAAACATCGTCTTATATTCGGGACAATACGGTATGTCCCCACTGGATGCAACAAATGCCTTGTTTACAATGGGTTTTTATGTTTTATTAAAATGTTTAATGCTTTGTCTCGTCGCTCCGGCCGGGACATCAATGATCGGTCATGATTAGCCTATGTGTGACGCTACTTTTTGCTGACTTCAAAACTCAGTAGCAACTCTAAAACGAGTCAGATAGGGAGCTTTAATTGAACGCTTTTAATTTTAGCTTATAAATACGTCAATCCTTGGCAGTATTCAGCGAATATGAATGCGCAGGACACGTTTGCTGTAGCAGCGCAGACACACATACCGGAAGCGTTCACTCAGATGAGAGCGCAAAAACACAGCACAAAAATTAATGAAACATATCGCTGCAGCATAAGACAGGCTATTTTAAAAGTACTGTTCAAAAACACGGCGCATTAAAAACGTGAAGCTGAGTGCCAGTCAAACTCGCGACGAAAATAATGTGCGTGCTTATTAAGGGTATTAGGGTAATCTGCAGGAAGCGCAAAAAGACAATAAAGTGTGAGTTTATCAGTGCGTCATGTATTCACTCTGATAACGACTGTTATTTTCTTCTTAAGAAAAAAATTAAGACGTTCTTAAGAATATATTTGAGAACTTATTAAGAATTTTTCAAGAATTGCACTTAAGAACATTCTTACGAACTTCGTGGAATTTATCTTAAGAAATTTCTTAACTTATTTCTTAAGAAGATTTTCGTGAATCCGGCCCCAGAACTCCACCTGAAATTCCAAAACTCAATGGTTATTTTACCTTACAATTCGTACCTTTGTGAAGCAGTGCTTTAATATCAAAGTTTGCTGTATTTATTATGCTTTTGTATAAATTTATCTTGTGTATCTACTGCATTTATACTCTCAAACTACTACAAACTTTTTTTTCTCTTATTGCGAGTGCTGAGAAAATGTAGTGTAGAAATTTGACTGGAATGCACTGTGCAAATTGCCCCATGTATGAACAGCCAGCTTTTGTATGCAGATTTCAATGCACAGAGTAAGACGACATCTAACATTACCAATGATTTTATTTCCTCTGTTCTAAGGCAGACGATATTGAAATGAAGAAAACACTAGTATGGTCACTGTTGTGTGCCTATTCATGTGCATCATTTATTGTATAGTTAGGATTTATATGCATGGCTATAGTTAGCAATTATTTCCTTGTGTAATTGATAAACAACTGCATAATTTGACTTGCATTTTAATACCCCATTCCATTCTAGTTTGGATTGTACTATTGCCGGTTAATTAACAGTCTTTGTCTTTCACTTTTTCTATTCACAGTGGCTTCTGTGTTTGCAGCTCACATGAATTGGTTATTGATGGAGCTAAAATCAAAAAACAGTTAAATGATTTAAGTTCTGATTTTAAACAACAACTATGAAATTTTGTTTTCAGGGAATATAAAGTAATAGAACATATTATATTTTACAAAAAAAGACATAATTTGAAAGTCAGTGATCCAAGACAATGATCCATTTTGATCATACCTTTTTCTCTTTATAAACTGTGCTGTTGGCAGATTTAATGTTTCTTCCATTAAAAAGAAAACAATAATGCTATTACCGTGAATCGCGTTTGAAGAAATTCACAGTAAATTGAATTTAAGCATTGATTTCCTGTTAAGCCTGAGATGTATAGCTTTTACATTCGTTCATCTCATTTTAGAGAAAGCTCTAATGAGTCTGGCAATATTGTGCTGTAATACCTGTGTGTCATACAAATCAGTTGGTTCAGTGTCTTCATGAC